ACAGTGGTCAGAAAAAGAATATCCAGTTAGCAGCTTTTTGCTGGGGGCTTTAAATCAATCTCTAAGCCTGTCGGTGTTATTTCATACACTGTCCTGTTTAAATGACATTAATAATTTGTGTGGTAGAAGCACAGTATTATTTTACACTAAAAATACAGAATCAAGACGCCAGAGTACTTCTCGCTGTTGAAAATGCCCACTTGTTTTTGTCTATCAGTGTGCACATTTATTTTTTAGATCTTACTACTAACAAAAAAGAAGAAAAAAAAAACAACAACCACATTTTAAATGCAAAGTAATATTTATTCTGTAAATCAGTGACACTGACATGTAAACAACATTTTTCTTTTTACCTTTATAAACCTGTTACTGCAGTACATGAGCTCAACATTGTGCTGTTATGTGTTCATACATTCAGGCATTAAACTGAATTTTGCTTCATTTGTGTTCAAAAACACTAATCTACTGTTGCTCTTTGACGCAAACCCATCTGGCTAAAAACTGAAAGGTAAAAATGGAAATGATCACACTGATAAGAAAGAAACTGTGGTTTCACAGCATCAAAGCCAAATGTCTAAACCTGCAGCAGTGCATAATATTTGCAAGGCACGAAGCTGAACCCAGCTCAACTTCTACATCTAGACAGCACTGCTCCACGTTTGCTATCGGCACTCGGTCGCTGAGAGTTTCAGACTGTGATAATAGATAAACTATTTTTGCATCTCTCAATTTTGGGTTCTCGTAGCACATTCAGAAAAAAGTCTTTGTAGTGTTGCATGACTTAACATCAATGTTGAAATATTATTACACCACATAATCCTCTATCTTCTAGTATTTTTTTTCATATTACAGCTTCTAAGATCCTGAAAGAAAACTTTACTTAAGATATAAGCACAGCAGATGTATTTTAACCAGATCCTCTCATCTGTAAAATTGTACCCGCAGAGAATTTGTCTCTCATTCGGTGTAAAGCAGTGTGCACACCACGAAATTTCAATCACAATAATGCACACTAGAATGCAAGTTAGCATTTCACAAATACTGAGCTGCACAAAATAAGATTACTTGTTTGGCAATACAAAAAGTTTTTGGTGTTTTTAATTCTTTTCAAATTTTAAAAATCTAGTTGTCTACAATAAGTTTGATATACTTTTACCATGTTTCATTTGCCACACTGACTACTAGACAGAACCAAGTACAGATTCCAGAATCAAGTAAATCTTATACCTTTTGCTTATTTATGAACTATGAGAAGAACTGATCTTTGCTTTTAAAAATGCACTCCCCTCACCCAACTCGTGCAAACTAAAAGAATTTTCTAGTGGAGTCACAGCTCCTGTAGGTAGTACTGCCTACCAGTGACCATGTGATGGCAGTGCAAACATTCAATATTGTGGCCTAGTTTTGATTTCTAGTTGATACAGGCTGCATATACATATGCAATTATTACAACTTTTTTTTAAAACAGGGATTCTGCATGTTATGAATTTACTGCACTTTGTTACAGACAAATCCATAGAAACGGGCCACAAAAACGGCGGACATCAGTCAAAGACGTCTTCGTCCTGTGCAGATATAAGGCGAGACTCCCCATGATGCAAAGTGAAGAAACAATCTGGTTTCAGTCCCTTCTGTTCCAAAGCCTCTCTGAGCCGAAGAGGTGGATCGAGGTAATACTGCATGACAAGAGAAAACATGCGTGTTAAGATATTGTTCGAGCAGCAACTCCAACACATTCAGTTTTAGTTTAGTTCTGCAGATTTTTCAGTGATTATTACATTTCTATCACTTCGATTTCAACAGAGGCTGCATTAAACTGGGACGGCTGCAGGAATACTCGTGCAGCTCAACAATGAAACCTTTGTTTTACTGTGTTGCCAGAACATAATAGTGTCACAACACTATATCTAAACAACGAGCTCTTGCATTGATATGGCACTCACAGAGTAGCTCTTAGGTCTATTGCAACCTCAAATACTAACTGCCTTCAATTACAAAAAAATTGGAATGCTCTGTAAAATGTAAATGAAAAGAGAATGATGATTTGCAAATCTCATAAACCTGTGTTTTCCACAAGATAAACAGTCCATAAATGACTGGGTAATGAGTAGACCAGCTTTGGGAGAGAAATGCTGTCTCATTATTCTAATCTGACTCGGTCCATTTTAAATGAGCTATAGCCTGTTGAAGATCTTATGCCTGTTCCTATACGGCTACTTCTTTTCATGATGTAGATTTAGCCCACATTTGTGCATAGCATGGTAAACTGTACTCACTGAGTGGCTTCAGGAAGTGTTCCTGAGACAATGCTTTGATTTTTCATGACAGAATCATGCAAATTTTAATGCAGTTACACCTGTGGGCTCAACATTTTTAGGACATTACTGATTTTTAACCTTGGCCCTTGCACACAGATTTCTCCAGAGTATCTGAATTCTGTAGATGATATATGTACTATTTAAAGTCTTTAAGTCAATTTTAGAATTTTTTTAATAATTTACAAATGCAGTTTTTTTTCAGGGTGGTTAAGATCACTTTGAAGAAACCCTAAGATGTTCTTTTTATGCCCAATCATGTTAGTGACCTGTTGCCAATAAACATAATTAGCTGTAAAGTGTTCCTCCAGCTGTTTCTCTTTAGTCTCACTTAGTTTATCAATCTTTTGTTGCCTCCATCCCATTTGATGGGAGATGTGTTGCTCCCATCAAATTCAAAATGAGCCAATATCTTTCAGGAAATGGTAAAATGTCTCTAATCATTTGATGGATTTTTTTATGTTTCATTATCAATCAAATATGGGTTTATGAGATCTGAAAATCACTGCATTCTGTTTTTATTTACATTTCATACAGCGCCTCAACAATTTTGGAAGTGAGGTTGTATAATAGTAACAAAATACTAAATTGAGCCCCATGAATATCTCATTCCTCCTAATCTAACAGCACCTTAACAAAGTTACCAATTTATTGGGTATATGCAACACTTAAACTATTATAGTTCTGCAATAAATACATGAAGGTTACATTCCTAAGGTTTTGGTTTTCTTGTAACGCTACTGAAATACCCTGCATTATGTAACCTTTGTTGTTTAAAAAAAAAAAAAAATAGAAACACCAGTCAGCATTATAAAACTTGTTCCAAAAATGATTATATCCTCATGAGAACCAAGGAAAATAGAATCTTCCCATTCATTTTTTTTTTTTTGTGATTTCCTTCCTTTTTGTAGCTAAAAGGGGACCCAAACACATGACATATCATTGGAAAGCCCAGGATGTCCTCTATTTTTAGTACATGAGGACTTAGTAGGGTAGCTCAAATAAGTCAAAAGATATAGAGCAAAAACACATGTGAACATTAAGCATGACCAAAGCACAAATATAAACATGTGTTTGCTTGTTAAAAAAATGGGGTTAGAGGGGGGGGGGAAAAGACTAGGGGAGGCTCACAACTCAGACGTGTCTGTTACAACAGTAATGCAGGAG